CGGCCCCGCGCCGCCGGCAGCGCTTTTCCCTCCTTTCCCTCCTGCACTTTCTCCCCGCCGCCTCCCCCGCGCTGGTCGCGCACGGCGCTCCGCCGCCGCCGCCCCGCAACCTTTTTCCTTGCATTTTTTTTTTTTTTTAAGAAAGAGGGCAGTGGTTATATTTTAAATTTTTTTAAAAAATTTTTCCCCCCAAAAAACCGAAATCGCTTCTTCTCTTTTTTTTTTGGCTTTTTTTTTTGTTTGTTTTTCCCCCCCCCCGCCAAAAATAAAAATAAAAAAAAAACCAAACCCAAAAAACAACCTTCCACCGGGCTCTAACAAAACCCCGATGGAACAAACACCGTGTCTGGGAGAATAAATTAATCCCTCTTTAAACAGCCTGACTCAGGGGCCGGGTGACGAGGGAGCTTGTTTTCTTTTAAAATAGGACGCGAGCGGGCCGGATTTCTGTAAAAACTGGCGAAATGCTAACGGTAATCGGGAGGAATAGGGACGGTGGAGCGTGCAACCCCTCCCTTTGCCAACTGAGTCACAATTTTCCCCCCTTCTGTCTGCGAAAGACCGACTTAAAAACACCGCTGTTTATGTAATTCCGAAGAAAATCCAGTGTACCAAAAAAAAAAAAAAATTAAAAAAAAAAAATCCTCCCCTGGCTTTTGTGAGCCGAGCCCTTTCACACCGGATTGTTTTCTGATGCCTCCTGCTCTTTTTGAGCTTGAAAACATAAAATCTGTAATTGCAGCAGCAGCAAAAAAAAAAAAAAAAAAAAAAAAAGGCGCCCCACACATCACCTTTCTCAAGGTAAAATAATCCTCTTTGGACATTCCCAGCGGCGGTCACTCGCTTACTCACTGTCCTCCTCGGAATTAAACCCAAACCCAACCCGTGACACGAGTTTGAAAACCTGAGTTGAATGAATAAATCCGCCAAGAGCGAGCACCATTCCTTTAGAGAGGAAAAATTATTCCCTTGCAAGTACCGAGGGATGAGTCACTTGCTCGGGTGCTCTGCTTCTGAAAACACGCCGGGAATGTTCCGGGGAGCCGGTACCGGGAGCTGGGCGCTGGGTTTTCCGCCTTTTCGTGATTAATGCGGGTGATGCCATCGAGTTTGGCTGAGGTCTTGTGAATTATTTCTCACTCTAGTGGGCAGTTGTGATTCGCACGTAGGAAACTTCACGCGAAGAAGTTAATCTCCTCCTTAGTTTAGGGCCATCTCCCTCCGAGCTGGGGCTGTTTTATCGCCTTTCTGCTTCCCAGGCTCACGGATGAGAGTTTTGGAGGGGAAATTCTGCGTAGCCTGGCAATATGGTATTGCAGCAACCTCTGTAAGAAATGCCAAGTAATACTTCCAAGTACGTGTCCAGCTTCTTGCTGCTTGTCTTTATTTTTTTGAAGGGTACCGTATTTTGAAATAGCGATGTCACACTTTGATTTAGGAGTAGGCTTTGCTGCTTTTAATTAAGGAGTCAGCAGTTCACTCTCCTAACGTACTTAGCTATGTGCGACTTGGAAGCATCTTCATAAAACTGTGACGTGGAAATTTTCCTCTGATTTTTTTTTTTTTCTTTTTGCCCCAAATAATAAAGCTTGAAGACCGCCTAATAAATGCTGAATATTGTTTCTTGAGTCATTTTGTTAAACCCACCGATTTAGGGTGCGAGCATCCTAATGCACCCAGCAGAAAGCACTGTTAAGCTACTCCCGATGTGACTTTAGTTTTCCCTCTTCCCGTTCTCACCAACAGCGTGTCAGCCAAGATCCAGCCCATTAGTTAAAACTAGTAACAAAAAATGGATTTAAAAGCCCCTCGTGGCCCCGCTCCCCGGTATTAAGTTAAATAACGAATGCAAGTGGCTGAATATACACGCTTGTTCTTCGCGCAGGGAGTTTTACCAAGTGTGCGTTTCAGCTGTGACAGGATTTCTAAGGGACGGTTTAATACGCGGTGTGCGACGTTGTCATTTTTAGCAAAATGTTTTTAGAGGAGGTTGCAATGTCTTAATTTTAGTCTTGCTGGCAATGGGATATGTGACTGTAAATTGCTCTTTCCAAATAAAGTTGTTTGATTGTGTTTAGGTGGCATTTTGATGAATTGTATCTTTTTAAAGAAACAATTGTGAGACTGAATAAGCAGCTCTTGTTTGGATATTATTAGTCCCTGAAATGCATATTTTGAAAACCACTTTTAGTATCTGCTCGGAAAGTGAAAGTTGTATCTGTTAATGTGAGGAGGAATCATCCATCAAACAGAGTGTTCAAGATATGACTCATGCTAATTTGTTGCTCTCACATTAAGGCTGGAGCGCAAAAATATTTTAGCCTCTGGCATTGGAAGTTCACAATGCCACATCCTACCACTCCGGGTCACGAATTACAGGGTGTTTTTTTTTTTTGTTTACTGCCCCCCCCGGAACGAAAAAATTAGTGATAGAGCGAGGGTATTTTGCACGAGAGCCTGTCCCAGGCAATCAAAATATCGCAAAAATGTTGACTTGACATTAATGCTAGGTCAAGTAAAAGCGTGGTCTGTGCCTGAATAAAAATGACTTGCGAGAGGCGTGCAGCAGGTGCTGTCTTCCCTTCTCGAACAGCCAGTTAAAAAAAAAAAACCACTGCCTGATCCTTTTTTAAAAGGCTTTAATGCAGGCAGCCCTTGGAAACTGAGGAATACTGCTTGTTGCAAAGAGGGGTTGTTAGAAAGACGGCGCTGCTAATAACGCTGGCTATCTGGGAACCAAGATAAGCAGACTTATATAAGCAGCGGCTTCGTAGCCTGTAGCCTTATGAATATACATTGTTTTATGTCCACCGTCTCTGTCGGTTCCGTAGGAAATAAGTGCATCATTACCTCGAAGTGCTGACGATTCTTTAAGGCTTAAAAATATCCATAAACTGCATAAGTTTGAACCTTGTCCAAAGGATTTGGGCTCTCTATTATCCGATCTGCTAGCTCTGCCTTTGAAACTGTATCACTGGAGCTATCCTTAGGTGCTCTTAAGTGTCTTCTGATGCAGTTTAACAACATTGTTTAATGCTTATTTAAAGTTGGCTGTAACACGTTTCAGAATTTTTTTAAATTAAAATTGTATTTAAGTACACAACTTGCTTAATATTGTACTTTTAATGTGTATTGTACATACTCATTCTTTTTATGCAATGTAGATGTCTCAATCGCTTTTTAAAAACACGGAAAATAAATGCTTGAAAATCCGCAACTGTCACTGAAGTCAGGCAGAAGTTTAATGGAGACGCTGGAGCTTGTGCCGTGCCCTGATTTAGCAGCGTAGCCTCCAGGAGAGTTCTGCATTCGACTCTTCAGCAAGCGCTTCTGCAAACCGGCCCCTTGGGCTGTTGTTTGAGGTGGCCGCTGTGGCCAGGCGCGGTGCGGCAATGTTCAGCTCACCTGTTGCATCCCGAGCTTCGGCACAGATGTAAAATGCAAAGAAAACCAGACAGGCTGGCCTGGCTCCTAGCAATTCCCACAAGTTTTGTCTCCCGTTAGCATACCGAATCCGGGGTTTCTCCCGTGAACTGTTTTCCTGTCGGATAGGCTTGGAGTGTTAGGGAGCACGTATTCATACCCACGTGGGTTAGCGTTTGTGTCCACCGGTGGCTTTTATCCAAAGATCACCGGCATGGCGCTCCTGAAAAACGGGCGGCTAAAGTGATGCAGGGCTTGTGCAGTGGCAGGGGGGGGGGGGGGGCCCCCCGCGCGCCGCGGGGG